TCCTACCACGTACGTGTGTATTATTTTTCATTTCCATTAACCTTTTGAACCCTCATTGTTATTGAACAAAGCTTTCCGTATTTTTTTCGCACTGTGCGTTCCGACGACGCATTACAAGAGGGAAGCTGGGGGAGGAATAATATCCCAGCAATCCTATCATTTGGCGCGTTTCGCTTTAGGGCATACAGCCGTCAAATTACGTTATGCGAAGGATCGGATAAGCGAGGTTCAAAAGAAACACGACGGAATATTTGACCCTAATTGAAAGAGCCCGTAGGCAAAAGCTACGGACATAATGCGATTCGACTCTGTCCATCGTGCAGATGGAGGGTCGTTATTAAATTACAACATTTAACGTCTCTTTGCGTTCGAAATTTTTACTGCTCGTACCTTTGAGATTATTCTTTTTATTACAAAGTAAAACGTTAGATTGAAGTTACATAACATTGAATGTGAATATTAATTATATTTATAGTATGCACTTATTGTAGAATTCAAATACAATCTTCTTTCGTTGTACAAGATCGACTATCAAGATGTAACGCATGCAAAAGCAATCCCTCTATATTGGTAGTAGAAAATAAACACAAGATATACCCCAGTCCGAACACGTACACACTGTAGTACGTGCAGAATGCAGTCTCGGGAGAATACAGTCAGAGATCAAAGCCGAGACTTCATCAATTTAAATATTTGTCTATTTAACTTAGATACACAAAGCATCGAGTCAATATATATGTTTTAAAAAGGTATCTAGATAGTTGTATCATATTTATAATCTTGATGTGGCCACAATAGGATTTATAAATAAAATATAATTACATGTTGTGCAAAAAGCAGTGCACTAATCCTGGTTAATACATATATGCCCACATCCTCCCCGTTTTCCCCATATTTGCTTTGTAATAAATAAAGTTATTTTCTCTTCATAATTATAAGTACCACGTACAGACGGTCAGAAGGTAATGATGCACTTCGTCTAGACAGGGCGAGCTAATAATTATGCCTCCAGTCGAAGAGGGCATCCTCGATTTTTTTGTACCGCGCGAGCCTGTCATGTCGATTGTGGGTTAAATATTTTTAATTACGCAAAAAGTGCACGGTAAGGGCCTGATGGGGATCGTGAATATTCGTTTTCGCCGTTATTATCTTCTCCCTGAGCGGCTGTGTTTAACATTTATTGTGGCTGCTGAAGAGGTCGAACGCCGCGTTAAAATTACTCGTTGTACATATAAGGAAAATTAACTGTTTTATGTTCACCACGGTTTAAGAGTTGTATAATGATAAAGTTATTTTGCCGGTGACGAAAACAAATTTCTTGCATGTCTACGTAACGGTAGATTTGTTTTCGACAGAACGGAAAACAGTTCTGGTGATGCATGCAAAGTATCGCGCCTCAATTTTGCGTTTACGTACATTAAGCTGTCGCATTACTGTCAGTTCAGGTTGGATCGTCGTAGCACCGATGCGAGCTTTTGAATCGATAAGGACCGCTGACTGCGAAGACATTAAATTAATGCACAAAACTCGCACAAGGCGTATGCTAGCGGTCTTGTCCTTGGAAATTGCCCGATTACCCTAATCCCCCATTAAAAACGCATTAGGGGACGATGTATATTTTAAAACGCCGGACGACCAATTTAGAATCCTTTGTTTCGTGAATAATTAATGGGGGATAGTTTTCTTCTGGTTGCTCGTGAATGCATAATCAATAGTAATGACCAAGAGGCATTCTTCCTTCTCTACATGTCCGTCTTTTAAAACCACCTGCGCCTTTGCTATTTTATAAGCATCATTTATCAATAATAATAGATATTAAATGGGATAATAACGCTCGTAACTCGTAGCTACAAGGAAATTTCTCCTTGATGCTTATATCATACAATAATAGATCATATATATTGGTAATAATAGTTGAATTAATACGTTCAAAGGTAGCCGCGAGTTATGAATACCCTACATATATGTTGCTTTATAAAACCGAGTATTGTGGCTTTGTGGTCCTCGCTCAGTTGGAAGCCTCGTACTGCTATACGCAAGGACACCTATAAACATTTCACCACGGGATATCTCGGGAGGATCGTCATTTTTTAGAGAACTCGCTTCTTTTGTACGGGCTCTAACGCGCAGATCGTAAAACTCTAAGAATACGAGTTGCTTCCTAGGGGGGTGTACTCGAGAGGTTCGCGTCATCGTCAATTTGTGCCTTACATAAACACAGTTACTAAAGTTAGAAAAAAACTCAACAAAGTTAAATTGAGCGGGAGAGGACAAAAAAATTAAGACACTACAAACACATAAAGGCAAGACGTGGAATAACACATTTAGAGCGATACCGATAAAATATTTAGTTCGTACGTTCATAAAATATTCAATTAACACGCTTGTAAGTTCAGCTGCGTGTATTAGGCAGACCACACGTCTTATTGGTTCGTGCCCCAGTTCATTCGAAGGCGTTAAACAAAATTTTCACACGCGTGCCGGCTGTTGTGGTTTCTAAGAATATAATCCCACTTAGCGCTTTACAGCGAGTGCAACGTACTGTCTACACGAACTTGCTAACGAAGTTGCGAAGTGTGAAACAGCGGCGGCGAAATATGGTCATGACGGTCTTGATGGACGGTATTTCCATAATGACCACATCGGACCCCACTATCCTTATGCTATTGCTCTTCCAGTATTACGAACCATTACACTTAGGGAAATTGGGTTAGTTCGGGGACTTAAAAGGACACCGCCTACACACTGTTTCCCGGGAAGCTGCTTTCCCATGCGCTTCCTTCCGGACAGTTAAAGTGACCGAATATTAAATTAAAACTACCGCATAGCTAGTTGTGACTTCGCTACCACCTTGAACTACGTGGCTTATTGAGTTATCACCATTGCTCCGCTGTCTTCACTTTAACTACTATCTAGGCGAGAACTTGTATAAATATAATCAACAAACTTAATAATGGAATAATTTAAACGAATTTCTAAAAAGTTGTCAAAAAAAATATTAAATAGACAAAAGATTTCTCACTCTTCTTTCTGAACGAACTTTTGATTACCAATTCTTCCATTTGTGCTGTTGTATTATTAATAATCACCTAGGTGTGGAAATGAATTAATAAGATTTTTAAGTATTACATCTAAGACCGATTTTCATAAATGATCTTATTAACCAGGAAAACTTATCCATTACGAAGCAATTCAAAAAGAACTTCTGATTCCCCTGTTGCCCTTTGACAAACTTGATTATGCACGTCAGCCGGTTTCGAGAAAACTTCGAAGACCAACTTGCATTCGCAGGTAATAACCTAGCGAACTTAGCTGGAATTCCCGCTCTCGCGAGTAGTGGAACCTTAGCGCGACATCAGCAACCGGGGAAAGATGCCATCTAGCAGATCTGTTAGTTATTTTAGGGAAGAGACGGCGCAATATTTTGAATAATATTATCGCTGGAGGAAATTGAATTTAAAAAGTGCCCTCTCAGGCCCGGTTTCGTTCCGAAATTCCGGCGCGTAGCATCGCCGGGGCATGATAGAATTTTCAACGAGCCCGTGATGGAAAAAAACTAACAGGAACGAGGCAGATTTAAGCTCCATTCATCTTATATTTTATAAAATTATGAACATTTCTATATCCTTATTTCAATTTATTAAAAAAAAAATGTTTCAGAAGACAAACTATTTCTGTACTTCTGTATTGGAGGAAATGTAGGTTACAATTTGTGATTGGACGCTCCTAAAAACCTTTAAAGTCTATTGCAAAATTAAATTCGTTTCTCATGCGATATCGAAATTAACGAAGGGCATAGAAGATTAGGTAAACTCGTTGAATTGGTGGAATGGTAATAACGCGTGACAAATTTTGCTGGCACGACACAAATCAATTACTAGTAGCCCATATAAACCAAACTTTGTCATTTAATCTGTTAATGGAACTTTTGTGTCCAATGAATAACATGCCATATCAAGTCCAATTTGAATAACATCGATTGTTTACTAGCTACAATTTTATAAAAAATAATAAATTGTTACTCTCAAATTTACTTTAAAAATACCTTTCTCGCTCGTGATTAATGAACGTAAACGTACTAAAATTTACACCTATTTAACTCTATACAAGTACGTTACACACATTTAACAGACACCAAACGTTAGTGTCATCGTTCTTTTGTATACGAAATAATAATGGGCATTATCACCGCGGTCGATACAATGAACTTTTGTGTGCAGCAGTTCACAGAATGTCCCATTCACGCGATCTATGCAAATGGAAATATTCAAACGTGTAACCCATAACAGATGCATTACGAACGTGATTTCTTAAGAATAAAACGTGTTCTATTGGTGGCATTTGATCGTGCGAGAAACTTAAAATTTCGCTTCGACGGTTCCAGATGTAAATTTTTCAGCTCTACCCTTCCGCATTCTCCGAATATTATGCCCGGAATATTAAATTCTTCTGCTTAATTTCAGTTTGGGTTGTTCCGCAAGAGTTATATTATTTGATAAGGTTTACAATTCATTTTTGACTTATATCATGGAAATTACTATTTTTGGTATAGGTTAAATTATCGTAGAGTGTGCTGTTTAATGAGATTTGCATCATAACCTTAGATATGCAAGAATTTTTCACTAGAACTAAGATTAGACCTAGAACTAAACACCCGAATGTTTCTCGAACGTAATTTATTCACCTGCATATAGTAAATAAAAAAAAAGTTTGGTAATATGAACCACTTTATCATTTCTTCTGGATGTTGCAAATGGGTTAAGAAACTAACCGTGCGGGAAAATGGGCCGGCATGTTTTAATATACGCTCTAATTTTGTACAGTAACGAGTCTTCGTTAAAGGAAAAGACTCCACAAAGTTCTTGATTAAAAAATTTTGGAAAGAAAAAAGAGTTATATTGTCTTCTATCCCGTCAGGTAGGTTAATATCGACAAAAGTGGGAGTTCGTAATATAAAAATTCCGCAGTAAACTTTTCTTTAGATGTTCGCCGTTACTTACCTTGCCTTTACTGTTGTTGAAATAAGCCGTTAGCGAAGTTGTGACGGCCTCTTAGCGGTTTAGTTCATACTCTTGGTGGTAATATTTAACGGGCTTATCTTGACTGCGTATAAATGTATAAGCTTCATGCTTAAACTTAACGAACAAAATTAATTATATAATTTCGTCTCTTCTTGTAATTAATGATAGACATAAAATATATTTCCAATGCAGTTGTTATAACTAATAGCACGCGTACATAATGTCACCGTACATGTTTCTTGTAGCCGGATGGTTTATGTTTATCAATACGTATACGACTGGTTGGTGCATAAATATGAAAAACGCACACGCCGAGGAGGGACTAAGGTAATGGTCATACGGCACGGACAAGGTCATAAACTATCTGATAGCGACCTGTCGACTATATTATATGTATCTCAAAAAGATATCTCCATGACTGGGAGTATGCATATTAAGTGAGACCCTAAAACGAATAAAACCCATAGCTACAACGTACATAAGTATGACTCGGCGGAGGTTACCTCGGGGTTTATTCGTTCCTTCTCCGGTCAAGGCAAGGGTCATATAGTAGGAGTGGGACGATACACCTGTAAATGTGAAATAAATTGTACACGTCCAAGACGTTAGCTCCATTAGTCATGAACAGGTTTAACAATTTTTTTATCCTTATTTCATTCTCAACATCCAATAATAATAATCCAACAATATATAAAAAATATAGGTTCTAATTCGAAGGTTTGTGCTGGTGTTACATTTGCGTGCGGTTTCCTTTGGACATAAGGACCACCCATAAAATGTCAACTTGAGTAACGCTAACCGCTTGGTTTATAGGGGGTTCTGCATGATTAATTTGACCAGATGTAATTTATCCCCCTATAATAATTGCTTCGTGTTACGCTATTACACCGTGATTGTTACTACTGTCGTTCTTGTTATAGGGACGGGTTACGTATGACTGAAGCCTAAACGATTGAATTTGATCGTGTTCCATTGCATGCATCAATTGTTGATTATCGACTGAGCCGTACTGTATTACTAAAAATTCATTACTCGAATTTTTATTACTCGTTTTGAGTTTCAAGCAAAAAGATAAAAAAGAAACCACCAATTTCAAACAAATATGTAATGCAGTATATTTAGTACCAAAAAAGATATGTAGTCTACTCCCGATAAAACCCAGAAACAATATTTTAGACATCCAATTAATTAACTGTGGAATTCGAAATTATGCGGCTGCATCCGTTCCGTTCCATGCTACTGGGTCAATTATGTAAATGCCCGGCACCTTATAAGCCGTGTTGAAAGGCAATAGAAGCCGTTGTCGAGTTGTGTTACACGGAATTGTGGGAATGCATGTACAGATGTTGAGATAAAACATCACAAAGTTACGTTAAAAGCTATTCGCGAATATTCTTCTTTAGTAACATTGAAGATTAAAAAAAAATTAACCTTAAATATTTATTAAAGCGCACCTTGGCAGGTGGAAAAATATAAATTCTAATTCATACGCAATTTTCATTTCCACCGTGTTTGAGTTTAAATCTTGCCGTTCCTTCTTAATAAAAATACACATTTCGCCTGCGGCAGTGCGCGCGTAGTCACAATAAAGTCTCCAAAATACATGCAAAACAATTTTATACTAAAATATAATGCACTCCAACTCCTTGCCCTATTTTATCCTAAATGCACCCGGTTTAATATTTTTCCTTGTTACTTGCATGAGAAAATATGTACTTACGAAGAGATACAATGTAAGCATTAAACATAGCGAAGCACATTATTTATTTTTTATGGGTAGTTTTCTAAACACACAGATTTAAATCACGACGCACATAAAAGATGACGGTTTGATTCCGATAAGTAATGAGAACACGCAATTTACTGATATCAAATACAATAAAACGTTTGGGTTTACGACACAGCTATATAACGGACTTTGATCGTAATTGTTAGTCTCACAAACGTACAGTTATCTTTAAAAGCTGTGCTTTATGATATATAGAGTTTTATATAGGTTTATCACATTTTTACGGTGCTCATAACCTTCTTACTGTTTCGCCAATGTGTTTGAGTGTATGTTAGAAAACACAATATACAAGCAAACTGATTAAATTTCGCGGAAGAGTCCGTATTTTTTCCTCCCCAAATTGGGTATTAACTGCGACAGGTCTTGGATTACTGGGCGGTCGCCGTAATTTTTGCCAATTTTCCCTAAAAGTTTCCCGGGTCCATTATTCAAATTCGCAAACGTGCCATGAATTTGTCCCGGATATCTGAATTGTGGGCGAACAAGTTAAACGGACAAAGACTTTTAAGTAATTCCATATAAACCGACGTTATTGAAGGATCGAAACTAACAGCGTCATTCTAGACTATTAGCACGCACGGACATCCACTTATTAAATTAATCAGGATACCGCCTCGTCCTTGCCCGATATCCAGATCCTTCGGGCGGAACCTTTCTCGAAGTTGTAGCTCGATATCGGCCCGCAATAAGAATTAAATTACTCCAAGCTTCGCTACCGTACGATATCTTTCGCTTTCCGTCTTGCTTCGACGGACCGGAAAATAAATACTCGGCCGAATACAATAAAAGGTCATTTAATTATTGAACTGTGTACAATTCGAGATAACTTAATAAAGCGCTTGGACCCGTTGACATCGTTCTCTTAAGGAATTTAAAAGGAAGCTCTAGAGAGTAGCATCGATAGGAAACGAGTATGTCAGTAGCTTTTAATTAATTAATTTGCTCTGAACCATATTCATTCTCAAATTCTTTCTCATCACTTCAATTAAATAAATACAATGTTGTATTTGTAGAAAATGTAAAACTAAGTCTAAGAGTACTTCTTAAAAGTAGTCTTTGTGATGGATATTAGAAAACACGAATTGAGTTTCAAAATGGTCCTAAAGGAAAGTTGCACAAGTCGGAGATTGCAACAAATTGGTGTTCATCCAACCCAACCTAATCCAATGAGTTGGGCATTATTGCCTGAAAATTTCTCCACCTCAAACAAGTAAATATTTAGAAAGTTTTACAAAATGATCACATCCCTATTATCCAAAGTGACTCAGATTTCAAAGAGATGAGGTTTTGCAAACACAACTCAATTTAACCAATAGAGTGTTTGAAGTTCTGGAAGAGCACTTTGAAGAACGCATTCTGGCTTTGGGGTTAACCCAGGAACAGTCGTTGTGCTCCTCGAAAACATAAATCTGTCATATCCTTGCTATTAGTAAATACATAGAACTTTTTGAACTTATCATCTAAAATCTATTGAATTTGTAATTAAATTCTTTTATTAAATGGAATCAAGAAAGATGTATAAATACAAATAATAGTAATGCTAAAATTTGAGTGCATTCTTGTGGTAAATATCAACGTTCTATTCTTGTCGAGAGTAATCGACAATGACCAAACCCATTAAAAAACCCGATAACAGTTCGATTAACGGGAAAAGCGCATAGTTCCGCAATATCCGAACGAATTTGCGCATCCATAACAGGCCGTGTTTGTACTTCAGCGATGTCGCCAAAAATTTTTGTGGAACACGCATTTCGATTTCACAACATAATTAGTACCTCCCCGCGTTGTTAGTCGACTCGCAATACCAGTTAATTCGGTCCGGGTCCGAGCGAAAACGTCATGCATAGGCCGCGCAGAATAAAACAACCGAGCAAGAGTGTTGGTTTGACGCCGCAGGCAACGCAAAACCCTAACTAAATTGAATACGGCCGGCGACTTTTTATGGCACGTGTTGTAGCATACACGATCGAAACATTTGTTCTCGTAAAAGCCGGCACGTAATGAGAATGCTGGCGGTACGGAAACCGGCCGTGAACGAAAACAATCGAGTCAAGTGACCTCGTTGTTTTGTTGAAGTATGAACTACCCCTGTTATAAACGTACTATTCGATGAATGTCGTGTAAACATTCTACGATCAAACATATTAACTATTTTACATATAAATACGAAGACTTTCACAACCGGTGTTAATTGAACTAAAAATAGAACTAACACTAGACCAAGAACTAGAAACATTCTGGTTTCTAGTTTTTCAAATGTTTCTAGTTCTAGATCTAATCTTAGTTCTAGTGATAGTACAAGTGTTAGTTCTAGTATTAGTTGTTATTTGAACTAAAACTAGAACTAACACTAGACCTAGAACTAGAAACATGCTAGTTCTAGTGACAGTGCAAGTGTAAAACTAGAACTAGCACTATACCTAGAATTAGAATCAGTCGGATTTAGCCGTCTTTAGAGACGTGCGGCTAAACCCGAATGTTTCTAGTTCTAGATCTAGTGTTAGTTCCAATGATGGTGCAAATATTAGTTCTAGCTTTAGTTCAACGAAAGATATACAGATCCAAGAAAATTAATACACTTTTGTTGAACTAAAACTAGAACTAGAAACATTCGGGTTCAGCCGTCTTGAGAGACTAGTAGTCTAATATTAGTTCTATGTGCTAGTGTTAGTTTTAGTGATAATACTAGAGTTAGTTCTAATTCCATTTTTTTAAATGTTTTTAATTTTAAAAATTACTCATAAAACCTTCTCTTTTCTCATTTTGTAGGTATTTCTTTAGAAAATTTAAAAGATAGTAAATACAACAATGTAACTAAAAACGTTCATAAACGACGAAAGAAGATAGGCAAGTTACGCCCACGTGAAATTCACTTTTAATGTAATTGCACGTTATAGTAAACATAAACGACAAGAGCCGGGTTTAAGCACACATTACGACCCCAAATTATATACCGTGATTTTGTAGAACGTCGTTTCTAAGAACCATTAAGCGGCAGTGATTTTCTTTTGTTAATATTAAATAATAATCCGGTAATGGACGGTTCCTACACGTTCATTTAATTATTGCTTTTTATTTGAGGCACTTAAAGAAGCGGAGAACATGAAGCAAATTTTCATAAGACGTCTACATTTATTAATGAACTTGTACACACCCTCCATTCAAGCGACGCTTCATTGACCTTTCCATTGTCGATTTAATTACCGAAGCACACTTAAACACCAGCTCTGCAAATTAATATTAATTGTGAAGCAATGCATTTGGCTAAATCCCAATATCTTTTATTTAATGAGCCCACACGTGCTGTTTACCTCCACTTTTTAGCGATCGTTAATTAAAAATGTTAAATTAAAA